TTTGAACTTCAACATGTTCTCCATGTTATTTTTAATTACTAGAAATCCATCGACATATATGTAGATGATAGTTATATCTTATGCCTTGATCTATACATAGACACCATACTCGTACCTGTATTTGATGAATATGAATTCGACTAAGTGTGAGTCAATTTTCTTGTTCCGTGTCCTAGGTGCGTGTTTGAGACCATAGAGGGTTTTATGCAACTTGTACACTTTACTTTCATCCTCATGTATCACAAACCCAGAAGGTTGTGTGACATACACGACTTCATCTAGAGGACCATTCAAAAATGTTGACTTCACATATAAGTGAAATGTCGACCAGCCTTGGTTGCATGCTAAGGCTACCACTAATTTAATAGTCTCTAATGTTGCTACTGGTGTATATACTTCATAGTATTCAAGTCATGATCTCTGAATAAACCCTTGAGCTAATAATTTTGCCTTAAGTCTTGCAATTAACCCATCAGGATTGTGTTTCAGCTAGAACACCCATGTTACTTTGATAGCTTTTGTGTGTGATGGAAAGCCAACTAGCTCCTATGTATTTTTTCTTTCGATTACTTATAACTCTTCAACAGTAGTTGTCTTCCATTGTTTATTCTTTAAGGCCTCACTATAGTTGATTGGTTCAACACATGCGAGTAAAGAAAAATGAACCAATTCTCCATCTAGCACGACTTCATCATCACTAGCCATTTTACAGTCTTGAAGCCTTACTAGGAGAACTTTGTTTCTTTGAGGTATTTGGGTTGTGCTATACACACCTTCCCTATTGTCTGATTTAACTTCGAAAGTGTCTAGTATGTCATGAATTGGAATTCCTTCATGATTACTACTTTCTTTATCAACGCCATAACTCATAAATGGCTTGTTAGTTACACCACCTGGATTACAATCTAGGCAGAGTTCTCAGCAATCACAATGTCTCAAATCATCACAATTTTATCATTTATTGGATTTAATAGCATGTATGCTCCAGTTGTGATATCCTAGCAGAATCATAGGTTCACCTTTATCCTCAAGTTTCCTTCTTCTTGTATCAGGAACATGCTTGTAACAAATAGAGTTAAACACATCCAGATGACTCACTGATGGTCATTAGCAACTCCATATTTCTTTAAGAACCTTGTTCTTCAGTTTTTTGGTAAGGCACCTATTTAGAATATAAACAGCAATTGTGATTGCTTAACCCCATAAGGTTTTTGGCAAGTTCTTTTTCTTTAACATGCATCTAGTCATATCCAATATGGTATTATTTCTTCTTTCTGCTATTCCATTATGTTGAGGTGTCTAAGGAGAAGTTACCTCATTAATAAATACCATGTTATGCCCATAACTCCTCAAATATATTAGATGTGTATTTACCACCTCTGTTTGTTCTTAAAACTTTGATCTTATTTTCACTCTGGTTTTCGAAAACTATTTTGAATCTCTTAAAGATTGAAAATACTTTATCTTTGTGCCTGATCACATATTTCCAAGCTTTATACTATATTTATCGAAAAATTAGACAAAATACATGTTTCTACCAATAGTACAATCCTCAAATGGGCCACATACATCTGAATGTACTACTTCTAGTATGAGGGAGGATTTCATCGGCATAGTTGAAGCAAAAGACTTTCTGGATTACTTCCCTACTAAGAAACCTTCATAGAGTTTTACAGGCATCACAAAACTTAGAATACAAGTTACCATATCTTGAGTAGCTAGTCTATTGAGTGACCTAAAATTCAAATGGCCAAACCTCAAATTCCACAATCAAGTATGCTTGTGGTCGATAAATGTTTTTAGGCATTGTACCTTAGTCGAATTGATCATGATCTTAAATATCCTATTCTTTGACAAGGGAGATTTTAAGACCAAATTATTCTAGGTATCGAACAATTCTAAGGCTCTATCTTTCATAACCACTGAGAAACCTTTTTTTTACCGATTTTCTAACATTTAGTAGATTGTACTTCATTCCAGGTACACATAGTACATCTTTAATCATAGCTTTTTCTCCTTACCCCTTTGAATAACTATGTTCCCGATACATTCTGCTTGCAACGAGCTATTATCTGCAAGTTTGACCTTGCTCTTCTTCAACTTGTCGAAATTTGCTAACCACACTCTTCAACCAATCATGTGATTTGAGCATCCTGTGTCGAGGAACCAAATCTTGGAGCCAACATGCTCATCTGAAACTGCAGCCATAAGAACCATACCTTAAGAATCATCTGAATATTGATGTTTAAGGTTTTCTCCTTCATCATCCTTGCCTTTTATCGTTTCCTTATCTTTCTTGTACCAACAATTTTTGGCCAAGTGACCCAACTTTTCATAGTTATAGCACTGCACATTTTTTTCCTCTTGTTTTTCTTTCTTATATGAGGTTCCTTTTCCTCTTTTCAAGGATTCAAAAGGCCTATCATCGACCTTATACTTTTGAGGGTTCACCCAAAACATCTTGCTCCGAGTCTTATCTCCTTTTCCCTTTTATCTTGTTGGAACCATCATGCTTGTTCCATGTCTGGGCCTATAGTGCTTGTATCAAATCTTGATCCCATTTCCTCTCTATAATCCTTAACTCATGTGCCTCCAATAAACCAACCAAATATTCCAATTCTAAGGTTGCAATATTGTTGGATTTTTGAATTGTTACGGTAACATGATCAATGTAAGAGGTCAATGTACGCAGTACCTTTTTCAATTATCATCTTATCAATTAAGACTTCACCACAATCTTTGATGAGATGAACAAGATTCTCATATGTAATAACTCATACTACCTTTGCAATGCTTGCAAATTGACACCTTTAACATTTTCACCACCTTAGTAATACTTGACAAGAGAATTCCATCTCTCCTTCGCCGATTTAGCATGAAGAATCCAATCAAAATTCACCACATCTACTGCAGATTGAATAAAGAGTGCGACCTTGCAATCTTTCTTCTTGACATCCTTGTGAATGATTATCTGAGCATCATTTATGTTATGAGTGAGCTCAAAAACGTCATTAGTCACCCCTTCTAGGGTTTCATGAAAATAAAATTATGATTGCATCGGGTTCAATTTTTGCCATTAAGAATTAGAAGAGAATTGAAAATATAATTGCTACCATTCATATTTTGTGGATAATTAAGGGCCCATTTTAGTTTTTTTTTATAAATAATTTTCATAGTGTTATATATTTTTTTAGTAAAAATTTAAATAAAATTTTGTTTGAATAATTGTTTATTTTATTAAAACTTTTTTTAGATATTATAATTTTAAAAAATTACTTGATTTTGAAATTATTTTAAATAATTTTTTTATAAAAATTATTTTTAAAATACAATTTTTTTGATAAAATTGTGATTTTAACTATGTTTTAATCTTATTTATTTTATAAGATGACAATTAATCTTTCAATTTATAAAAATGAAATTGGAACAACTTTTAATATTTTGAAAAACATTTATATAAAAATCATTTTTAAAAATACAAAAAATATATTATTTTTTTAAAGGTAAAACAAACATTGTTCGGAGAATAGGAGATGAGTCTTCTACTTTGCTTTGGTTAGATCTTTAACTTGATGGTACATCTTTGAAGTAAGATTTAGTAGGTTGTTTGATTTAGTGTAGAATAAAAGAACGATAGTAGCAGAAATGAACGAGTTGGGAACAATGAGGCTTGTAAGTGATGTAGGAAGTTATTTGTTTGGGAGGAGGATTTAGTGGGAGAGTGTATTGAGCAGTTAATCTCAGTTGTTTTGCAGATAGGCGTAGAAGATCGTTGAGTTTGAATTTTACTTCCCTCTTTTGGCTACATTGACAGTCGCGTTTATAAAAATTTATCTAAAGTTGACATCAACAACAATCAGACTAACTCTCAATTTTTATGCTTGAAAGTTATGCCGCTTACGGTATTTATTTTTGTTTGACGGTTGTTTTTAAATCGTAGTCCGACTAAAGATAATCTAGCTAAGAGGCAGATTCTTGCCACGAACGATCAAAATTATGTGGTGAATTGTGGCGTGGAAGAAGACAATAATTTAATTGTAATGATTTTTTCAATAGATTGGGACCTATTATTTTTAATTGGTTAAGGTTCTCTACGACATCTAAGAAACGGTTTGGAATCATCTACTGTGGTTTAGTGGGCTTGATGATTTTTCAAATAAATATTTAATTGAACTTTAATAATATTTTCGAATAAATATCAGGTAGTGAGGTTAAATAATTTATCTTGCTTATCAACAATTTTTTAAGTCACTTTTTGCTGATTTTTTTTCAAAATTTGGTTTGTAAATAATTAATTATTTAATACTTTCAAATACATTAACTATTCAAAGACAAATAGATTTTATCTTATAAATAAGACCAAAAATAGCATTTTCAAGACATCTTGTGTTTGATTTTTGATTGACTTATTTTAGTCGTTAATATATATTTTTTATTTTGGCTTTTTAAAAAAAACAGACAGGCCCTAATTTAAAGCACTTTGATAGCTTATCTTATGTTGAACCATAAAAGAAGTTTCAATGTTCAATTGTGGTGGCTGACCATAAATGGAGCGTTGACTAATAAGAATCCAATCAAAATTTCAAAGAACGATCCGTTGGCGTTGACTCTGACCATGTTTTCCGGACCCATGTTATTGTGACTTGTGAGAGTCTGTTCATTATGTCAGATTTCAGCAGACAGATTTTTAACATCTCAACCTGAACACTAAGTCTCTGTTTGGATGGAAAGATTATGAAGAGAAGGAATGAGAGAAGTAACAACTTTCCCTTCCCTCCGAATGCTCAGGCACTTTAAAAAATGTTACTTGCTTTCCAGGATCGGGCACGTAAGGAAAATTACTATATTAATTTCCCCTAAAAGTTACAATATCAATCTATTATTAATGATCCACAAAATTTGTTTGAAAAGAATACTAGTGTTACAACTGCAAATGCCAAATAAACCATTCGCTCCTAACACACCCTATAATTGTTTCAAAATTGGTTGAGGCTACACCATCAAGATCTCTTCACAATAGCAGTTGCAAAGAAAGGATGATGGCATAACGTAAAAGAAATCTTCATCGATGGATCGGCTGCTCCTAGCCGGGAAATCACTGTCAAGGCAATGTTGTTGCGCTCTGCTACTTGCTCTATTCTCCCCAGCTCAGCCATCATGTCAAGATCATTGGCGAAATTAGTTTTCAGCTCTTTTGCCATCTTTTGTGCTACTTTGAAGTAATCACACATAACTAGGGTCTGAAGGAGAAATAAACCAATCAATGTCCGTCTCTTGAAAAAAACAATACACAATAGTTTCCAAATGAATACTCACAGAGAAGTTAGCCTGGGCAGTTGATTCCTTGTATGTCTGATATGAGATACTTTCAGGAAGACAAGCTTTCAGCAAAAGATCAAATTGCTGGATAAATATCTGGACAAAATATCTATATGTGAATTCATTTGCAAATAAAAAGCTTGATTCAAAAGAAAAGTACTTTTTCGTAGTGCCAACTGTTTTGTTGAGGTTGAAGGCCACACAAATTTATCTTGAGCTAGATATACATGGTATTGTTAAGTACTAGGAAATATACATTTTACTTGATACCTATGGATCTTTCAAAAGCTTAAATCACTAAAAAGTATCTTGATATCATAGAAAAACCACAATGCAATTTAGATAATTAATTGGAGGTTTCTTCTTAACTTCAGACAAATCTTGTATTAATAATTTAATATATCTTAAATTTTATTTTCTTGTAAATGTAACAAAGATTACAAGTCTCTTCATAACCCATATGAAAACTAAATACAGAGCTGATAATGGAAAGATTTGCCATTTAACTTTCTTTAGTGGGGTTTGATCAACACATGATAAAATAGAATCAGTAAACCCTGCTCAAAACAATCAAATCAGATAGGTTACTGAATGGGTACAAATCTGATAGGTTACTGAATGTATTAGAAACTTTTCATCCCCTTGATCTTTCACTGAATATTTCAACACTAGAAATCCAAAGCTGAATTTTAGTTTTTACCAAACACCATTTCCAACGCTTGAACGAAGTTTTTAATACATTTGAAAACTGTATGCGGCAAAACAGAAAACTTTACCTCGTGTTCTGTAGTGAAAGGACTTTGCGGTGGAACAATTTTGCACTCATTCCTCAAAGCAGCTAGCATCTAGAAAAATAATTGGATTGTTGCATAACGTAAGTCCACTAAATTGAATCAAATAACAAAGCTGGAAAAATATTTAGTCTAAAGCAAATTATTGAGGAAACATATGCAGTATTACCATGCCTAAACCTTCAGCTAGATATATTTGGCTCTGAAGAAACTTAACAGCATCTGAGATCTGATAATTCTTTCCCCCATCTTTTAAAGAATCTCTTTTTTTCTTCGTCTTCTTTTTACCTTACCAACAAGTAGCATAGATACATATTGAAGTCAGCAACACCATAAGCTAACTTTTTTTCTTCAAAGTTATACAGCTAAAAGCAGAATTACAATAATATATAATAGTACGACTCAGAAAGTCATTAATTTGTAGGTAAAACATAAAGCGGGGAATTTCCTAACACACCAACCCTTTGCTTAATTAAAAAACTCATATAAACTACAGTAACACATACCAGCGCCACTGCTCATTGCTATCCGGAGATGCTTCTTCTCTGCAAGATTGATCAACACGATGTAAATATACCAGTACACCATGCAATAATCATGGTCAGCATAGAGTTCCAATTCAAATCCCACAGTGAGAAATCGAAAAGCTATCCAATAAGTTTGCTCTTCCAACCACACGAGAATATGTTGGAATATTTTGAAACCTATATTCTGCCAGAATAGAGTAATGTTAAATATTAATGAATCAATTCAATGTAGCAGCAACAGAAAACCAACCGTCAACACTCTTGAAAAAACCCACTTTGTGTGAATACTCAACTAGTTTCTTTTTAAATGTAGATTTTTAAGAAAAAAATGTTCAAATGTATCTTTCATTTTCAAATTTAAGGTTGCGTTAACTACTTTTTGCCAATTGCACTCTAACCTTACCAATTATTTTGCACTTACATTTATGAAGAGAGGGAAGAAAATGGGTGAATGAGCCAATGAGAGGTATGGGTATATTTTGAAATTTCCTTATTAATCAAAGCTCTTTCTTGATTTGTACAAAACAATCTAATATTACATGAACATAGGAACAGAGGGAGTAGTTTCTGGGTATTATTTTCATCCCTCAATACCTGAAGGACAAATCCTATAACTTCAATGCATGTATATAAATCAGATTAATCATAATTGCTGAAAACCCTTTACCCATTGTATCACTTCTCAAAACTCCTGTGATAACTAACTTCTTTATAAGCACCAGTTTCAGACAATCAATAGGTAAAAATCATAAGTGAAAAACCTCGTTGTTTGAAGTGTTTCCAAACTCCTTTTTGAAAGCTAGCTCCAGCTGCAGAGTGAAATGCAGGATTAGATCAATCTTGATTGATGTTAAATGAATTTCTGGGCAATCATTCAATATATCAGTTCACATTAAATATATAAAGTAATTCTATACCAAATGTTGAGATACCTTGACCATTTGATCTAACACTAGTAATTCAATAATTAAACTGAGACAAAATGCTGCAATTGCATTCCCCAAATACGAAACAAATTTCTCTCAGAATAAGATAGGGCCAACTAAAAAATATATCCCAAGTATTTTAACATCAGAAGCTTGTGCCCAAAAAAAAAAAAGAATTAAGAAGCATTCATGAAAATCTTACTAAAATCTAATTCAATTTCTTTAACAGATAAGGTGTTATTTATAATAGGATGTAACAAAGTCTAGCGAAGGTGGTTACTGCAGAAAACAAGCAAAGGACACACCTGTACATGGGTGACACGCAAATCTTGTAGCATTTTCCCCAGTTTACGCCTTTGCCATGCGGCATTTGTACAGATAATTTTGAGTAAATTGATCACTGTCTGCATCCACAATATTGTCCAGATTATAAAGTGCCGTACTAAAATCAAATGAGTTGTATAGCATTTTCTTATGGAAAACAATTCATATTTGAATGATACTATCCCCCAGTCAAAATCTAGGTTGATTAGTTACAAGAATAATTGAGCCCATTTGTTTCTGTTTTTGTATTAAAAATTCCTTAAATATCTTCTAAAAAAACTTTCTAAAACTTTTTAGTGTGCGGTTTAGGCTTCTAAAGAATATCAAAACTTCTGATTATTTTGATAATCCACTTTGAGCAGCTTCTGAAAATTTAGTAATCAGAACTACTTTTAAAAGTCAAAGTGGATTTTAATAAATGGAATCAAACAAAAAATAGCTTTTGCTTTATATAAATCTCCAAAAACTAAACTGCAAGTTCTCATCATAAAAGCATGCATGTCTATACAAGTTCAGGAACACATGAGAAAGACTAAAAGACATATAGGCTGCAAATATGACATACCAAACACTTTTAATTTCACTACCTGTTCAAGTTGCACCATAAGCTGACTTTTCTGAAATTCATGATTCTCTGCGACTTCAGGTAATCCAGCAGCTCTAATGATCATAGAAAACATAGGGTATCGACCAAAGAGTTTCCCGTTCTGGACCAGCAGAAGCTGATATGATAAGGGGATTTACTGGGTCAAGTTTGGAGAACAGAGTTCAAAACAATAAAAGTAAATTTTTACTACCATGCATGTCAAGCAATGCAATCAGGTTTATAAGTTAATAATATGTTGTTTTGTGTGCCTCTAGCATTCCGTTTTATAAGAAGTCTGGGGCTTAGCTGGGGATGATTCATGATTGTTTGTTTCCTTAGGCTATGTTTGGGAGTTTAGGAGGGGATGTGGAGGACTTGGGAAAAATAAAGGAATGGCAGTCCCCCTAACTTGAAAGTAGGTTTCTTTTTCTTCATAACACAAAATCTACTTAATATGGAGGAACTCAAAAAATGAATTGGAAGGGGAAACAACTAATTGCTGAAGCTGGAAGGTGTGAATAGTGGCTAGGGGAAATGAGACACGGGTGTGACTGGCTAATGGCTATTAAAGGAAAGATTAGGAGAAAGAAAAATGTGGGTTAGAATCCTGTTAGAAATTGGGAGAGTCTGGGCCTCTTGGATTGCCTTGGTATCTTTTGTTCTCTGTATTTTTCATTTCTTCCCTGTAATACCCAAGACTGCTATCAATTTGATAGACAGACCCGGAGTTTCCCTTTTATACCATATTACAAACACTTCAACGTTACTATTTCTTAGGCAACTACCAGACATGATAAAAAAAAGTGATAATATATATTGTACTGTTCGTATATATAGAAGATTCATAAAAATAGTTAATAAAAAATATGAGAACACTCATCAAATCAAGCAGAATCATGGAGCATTATAAGATTCACCTGAAGATGAGCTCTTGAAATCAAATCAGGTTGAGATTTCTGGAATTTAACCACAAAGAGCAAGGCAGCCTCCAACGATGGGTCCAATGAGTAGGAACATATAACATCTAGATCATGAAGGAGTTTCACAAAATATTCGAGAGCCTGGAAGATATATACTAGAAATGTTATAATATGGAATTAAGTTTCATGCATTAAAAGTAACCCTCTAAAAACATACCTTTTCTAAACAAAATATTTTGATTGCCCGCGGCGGTGTTGGAGCTGATAATCTAGAATTTAAACTAGCATCAAAGCCAATTGGTTGACAACCAGATGCAGTTGTATTTTCTACATTTCGTTCAGACATTTCCGGAGCATTGGCTCTAAGAAAGTCTGAAGATTTTCGAATGTGACCAATCTCTGAAATGCATGATGTTATGTGTTCTCTTGCCAACTCCAAACCTCCTCCTTGGGGTCGTTTCATAGACATCAAAAGATGGTAAAAATGCTGAAAGAAAATCAAATGTGGTGATTTCAGTCCAAAAACAAAGAGTGATTAGTCAACAAGAAAAGGATGAAACTGAAAATTAGGGAAAGGTAAATTGTCAGAAGATCAAAGTACAAATATAGTAACATACTCAATAAAAAGCACTCTAACATACTAGTTAGTTCGTGGGAGGGGTTTTAATGAAGGGGGACAGAAGGGAGAGTAGGGGAGGTAAAACAAACATTAGACGACCCTTATCTGTTTGTGTTATAGCAGGGCGGGTACAAAATTAATTTACTATTATGAAAATCAAAATAAATCAATGAATTTGCTAATGGAAAATGAAGAAGAAAGAGGATAAAGCAGCATCCTAGGCTGCGCCTTTTCAGAATTAGATGGACCTGCTGAAAATGAGGAAAAAACTAGAAAATAAGTGGCCTATTCCTCTTCAATTAATTTCTTATAGGTTGATTTTTCAAAAATAGTCCTGATTTTTATGTAACAGGAAAAACCTTAAAAGAGAAGTGCTACTAACACTCTTTTCAACACTCTCTGACAAACTTTTTTATTGGGTGAAACTCATGTGGATCCAACACGATGGAAATGTGTCCCAAATCCAATCCACATAAAGTGGTGGACCCATAGAATTTACCCAATAAATCAGTCTGTGTTAGAGAGAGTGCCGAAAAGAGAGTGATCCTGGCACTCTTCAAACCATGAATGAATGAATGATCAGGAGTAAAGAAGCTTTTAGAAAAGTAAAAATAAGATGTGAAAACGAGTCAAGGTTTCTAGGAATAAATAAGTGAGGTCAATTTTGAAATTAATAAGTTACACGGGGATAGTTTAGTCCACACGATTCAAAGATTTGAAGCCTTATTCATAAGAGGGGTTTTGCCCCACTTTACTCTGCTCCTCTCCCCTCTAATTCCCTCCAACCAACCACTAAAGGGAAAACCGACAAGATTAGAGACTATTAAGAAGCAAAGGTAGTTTTGAAGGTCATTTAACCATCCACGCATGGTAGAATTAGGATCTTATCTTAGTAACACAGCAAAGTAAGACTCGTACCAACCTGGGTCTAATTAATTTAGATTTAAGTTTCTTTCATTCTTTTACTGGACTGGGAGGACAACAATTGAACATTCTACCTTTCATGACATTAACTCAGGCGGCAAATAGTTCTCCATTTCTTGATTCTCTATCTCACCTTCCATTTAGATGTCGCAGGTAATTGCATCACCTTTTGTTGTCTTTTCTTTCCTTATATTTTTCTAAATAGTATAACACTGTTTGGTTTGGCTTTTCACTTTAGCTTTCTATGAGATTGTGGTGAGATAACCTTTTCGGCTAAAATAGAAAGTATTATTATAGTGGTGAAAATAGATTTCTTTTAAATGCTTACTAATAATAATATGGGCAACGGCATTTGGCTTTTCAGCTTTCTATGATGTTGCAACTGTGGGTTTTTATTTGATTTTTGGATTATATATATTTTCCTACTGATACAGTCATTTAGTAGTAATAGTGAGATTAGAAGTGACACGAGCAATTTTTCCACATCCTTAGCTTATATATGAGGAAAAGGCAAGGCAAGTTGGGGTTGCAACATTTTAATCTCCCTTTAGTTATATGATACACAATTTATCTTTTATATTGACGTACCTGGTACCGTACCCAAACATATACATCTCAGAATATAAAAGATTTATTAGAATTTGGGTTGAACATTATTCAACCTCAACTTAGGATTGCATCCACTTACAAAAATATTTTTATGCCATATCCCATTCAATGTGGGACTATAAACTTGTCCTCTCTAACCAATTACAACTTGGTGCATGGATATAAATGGTGGGTGGCTTGATAGAAGAAACCTAATAGCAGGTGGTCAAACAAATTTTGGAAAATGTTTTGGATAGGCTATCATACCATCTTAAGTTTTTACATTGAGCCTAACTCATCTTTACAAAACCGGCAAGCAATTTTGCCACATCTTAAACTTACATGAGGGCAACTTGCGGTTGCAACATTTTAATCAACCTTGGGTTATATGATATATAGTTTTTTATCTTTTATATTGACCTACTCGGTATCATACCCATAAATATGCATCTCAAAATATAAAGGGTACCCATACATATGCATCTCAAAATATAAAGGGTACCCATAGATATGCATCTCAAAATATTAAGGGTTCTATTACTATTTAGGTGGGGTCTAACTCAATCTTACAAAATCGGCTTCTAAGATGAGAATATCTTCTGCTTATAACTTCCCTCTAGTTATATGATACACAGTTTATCTTCTATATTGACGTACCCGGTATCATACCCAAACATATACATCCCAGAATATAAAAGGTTCTATTAGAATTTGGGTTGAACATTTTTCAACCTAAGATTGCTTCCACTTATAAATATATTGTTATGCAATATCTCATCCAATGTGGGACTATTAACGTGTCCTTTCTAACCAAACATTATTGAACTTGGTGCATGGATAATGGTGGGTGCCCGATAGAAGAAACCTAATAGCAGGTGGCCAAACATATTTTGATAGGCTATCATACCATCTTATGTTCTTACATTGAGCCTAACTCATCTTTACAAAACCGGCATATCTCATTTAGTAGTAATAGTGAAACTAGAAGTGACGCAAGCAATTTTGCCACATCTTTAACTTACATATGAGGGCAAGTTGGGGTTGCAATATTTTAATCTCCCTTGGGTTTTTTGACCTACAGTTTTTTATCTTTTATGTTGACGTACTCCGTATCGTACCCATACATAAGCATCTCAAAATATAAAGGGTTTTATCATAATTTAGATGTGGTCTAACTCAATCTTACAAAACCGGCTTGTAAGGTGAGGATATCTTCCACTTATAATTCATAAACATATTTTCAGGTCATATCTCTTCCCATGTGGGATTGTTAATACGCCGCCTCACACCCAACACTCTTAGACGTTGTGCATGAATATAAATGGTGTGCTACCCGGTAACGGAAACCTAATATCAGGTGACTGAACAGATCTTGGATAGGCTAGGCTTAGATTTCAAGGTTTTATATTAGGTCTTACAAAAACAGCTTGTAAAGGGAGGATTGCACCCATAAACATATTTTCAAGTCATATCTCATCCGCTGTGTGACTCTTAAGTTTCAAAGAGCATCAAGAAAAGCCGAAAAGAGTATATCATTCATTTTCTGTACCGAAATAAAAACTACGCTAATCAAGGAAAGTTAAAAGACTGCATGCTAATTTTACAACCTGCATCATCTTATCTTTGACATTTGCAGATTGATTAAATATATTGCAAAATGGCACAGCCTATGTCGCATTATAAACTATACATGAATGTAGTTCTCCATTATTTGCAAGTTTGCATAGCTTTTGAGAGTAATCACAGGAAAAAAACCTTACGAAAACGTAATCGGCATAGCAGGGCTTTGCAGTATCCTTCTTCCAGATCAGGATTATTTTGAAGTGGCTCTATATCTGCAACATAGTAGCCCACAACTCAACCAAAGCATATGGATATGTTGCACACCCTTTTGTGATTGGGAGAGAAAGACAGAACAATTTTGTGTATGACAAGCATAAAGACTATAATAACTAGCACCATAAATCATGGCCAATAAATGAAATGTCTATGATGGTGAACTCTAACTTCTTACTTCTACTTCTACTTTTCTTTTTTGGACACACTGTACAATATTTACGGTAAAGCAATTTTATAAGAATGACTCCACAATGATCAACCATACACTACACATATCTGAAATACACATGATTGTATTAAAATTCAACGAAACAAGAAACCAGGTTATTTAAGAATGACATGAAACCTGCCACAACAGGTATTTGTAACACTTTCACACATAAGAATATCAACACTCTAATTAACTTCAAAGTCCAATATTTTATTCTACATGTCAAAGTCATTCCCTTCTGCAAAACTAGAAAATTAAATTAATATCATGATATAAAACCTCACTAGAGCATGTTGAGGTTTAAACATGCAATTACCTTCTGATACTCTTCTTTTGGATGAAGTTTTAGAAGCACGCAGTTGACGACATATTGTTTCTTCAACAGCATTTAACAAAGGTAAACACCTTTCCTTTCCATCTCCACTCAGAGGAAGTCCATATACCATGACAAATAAATCTTCTTCCTGACACAAATAAATATCACCACTTTTTAGCAAAAAATATAGCGACATTGGTTCGTTCGAATATACAGCTTATAAAAAATACATATAGAATAGAACATATGTTAGGAGATCAAACAACTACGGCTGCATGTCAGCATAAATTCTACTGACACGTGAATATTACAAAGCTTAAGATCCATATAAATAAATAGTGAAATAAAGAATCCTAACAATCTATGTAATTTAGCAAATAGAAACAATTCAATTAACAGTCGACTTCTCCAAAAAGATGAGAAAAACTAGTACTTATTTGACGCAATGGGAAAAAAAGTGAAAACTCCAACATGCGAGAACAGAAAAATGATCCTACAAAACAGAGATAAAAATAAAGAACAATTGGAATACATTACTTCGTGTGTCCGTGCCTCTGCAACAACTGAAAGAACTGCTTTGCAGGTTGCACGTATGACTTGGCAGTAAGAATGCAACAGGGCATGCGATGATGTCCTTTCAGGCCGTAGAAGATAGAGGCAAGAATAGACAGTTTGTGCCAGCGAATGACCCTTGTGCCATGTTGCCTGAAATACCAAATGGCAACTAGATAAAAACAGCAAAAACATAAATTTAAGACTTGCCCAGTACAGACAGAGATATTGAACCCAAACAAATATTGCTATATGTGCATCTTCAAAAACTGTCTATGCATTTTTAGTTTTTTATTTGACTAAAATTTTCTACTTATTTGGATAAATCTTAATATTTTTCTTAGGGGATATAAATCAGGCCTGTTAAGCAAAGGGTAGATTTTGATGTACTAAGAGCAATAAAATACAAAGCATATTTATCTATAAAAAAATAGAGAGACCATAGTGCATCATATCAAGATTGTGAATTCATCAGACTCATGTATAATGAGAATGTTTCTCTATACTTCAAAGAGAAAGAAAGGTATTTTTCAGTCCTTGAAAAAATCTAGAAACTAAAGTTATGCATATATAGAAAACAGAGGCAACAAGGCAAAAATACCTCACATGCTAGTAGATGGTCCATGATGTCAATTATGCATCGAACATCAGTAGTTTTATCAGAACTAATAGGAACCGGAGCAGCACCCTTCTCAATCGCTTCATCAAGAGAGTAGTAAGCAGAAGCCATACCAGAGTCCATTTTCGGATCCATTATCTAAAAAAAATCAAATAAAAAAGATAATCCACATGGATCAATGTTGCATAAGATAGTTGTAAAAACAACCCCTAACATCTTCTCTACATATTTCTTATTCCTAGCATTAAGTTAAGCCTATGAAGCACGGACACTGGAAATACAACACCGATATTGACACGTCGACACCAGTAATAATTTGAAAAAGAAATTAATAAATTAAACTTAATCACAAGTGCCCGGTGTCGGTTTCAGACACCGACACTGACACGCCTTTTGTGAAAGGTGTTAGTGCTACATAGAATTAAGCTCATAAAGACCTAATTATTTATAGCAAAAAAAATTATCTGATTCAAAGACATATAAAATATAAAAGGATCACACAGAAAACTAAAAAACCTCTCACTGAAAGTGCAGTGAGAAAAATAAAAATGAATACCTCCAAAGCAGACATGGCAGCATATAGATTGAAATTATCTCCATGGATGAGGTCTCCCTCTTGAAGATCTTCAAAATAAAAACGAGAAGTAATTGACCACAATATCATTGTAATTTGCAAAACACACGGTAAAATCATCATCATTATAATTCAATCAAGAAGCAAGAACTTGAAAATCAGTATTTAATTATCAAGTTGAAAACGAAAATGAAAGCATTGCGATTTGCATTTGCAATATTGGTAAATTGCAGCATTAAAAGGAAAGAAGGTGAAAAGGTGGAAAGCCCTTGGTAAAGGGAAAAGAGAGAAAGGAAAGGACCTTGACAAGCGGCATGGAGAAGAGGCGATACATCGGCCCAAACGGAGTTATCGCCGGAGGGAATACGTGGACGGAGTAGAACGGGGTTTTCTGGTTCGTTGGCGCGATCCAACGCCGCCATGGCTTTGAAGCTTGCCTTACTTTAGGTAGAGAGTAGTGAGTTCAATTTTTGAGGCTTCGCGTTCAATTTCAATATGCTCTGTGGAACTGTGTTGTGGCTTATGACTCTTTCTCTCTCTTCTTTTGGTTTCGGCGTTCTGCAAGAGTTACATGTAATATCATCTTGCCTTCCATTTTTGTACTTTAAAATTTAAATTAAATTATTAAATTATTTTAATTTGTCATTACTTTTTCCGAAGGAAAAATATAAAATATTATTGGTTAAAGAAAATATTGGACATTTATAAGAGTTTAATTTTTATTTTATTTTAAAATATATATATATTATTGGTTAAAGAAATCGACCTTATTAATTCGAGTATGATTAAAAATTATAAAAGGGTTCTCTTTGATAGAAATATTATCAATGTTATTAACTATATAACTAAAATCATTAGATCTATTGACACGCTTAATTTACCTTTTTATTTTTAAATCAATTACATTAGATCAAACACAAATGACTCTTTAAGAAATGGACCAATAAATCACGTTCACCTTAGTATCTTACATATGAATATTTGTGGTACGGTGTTAACATTAAAAATCATCTTAACCACAAGGAAAAAAACACGTGAATATAAGAGAGATTTGAGAAGGTTGAAACTAAAACCCTAAGTACGAGTAAATGAATATTTGTAAGGTTAAGATATAATAGGTTTGAATTTTGGGTTAAATGTGGGATAAGTGAAGTTTGGGTTGTAACATAATGCGTTTTGGTTTGTTTTGATTCGGTTTGCAAAATACAAACCGCAAACCAAACCGAATTGTACGATTTTGTTAAAAAATGAACCAAACACATCCGAGTTAAGTACGGTTTTTTGCGATTTTGATTTGGTTTGGTTCAATTTGCGGTTTTCTATTGGGTTGGTTCGATTTGCGATTTTCTATTGGGTTGGTTCGATTTTGAACACCTCTAATCCTACCATGACGCATGTCATCGAAAAAATTTCTCATATAAACTACATAGGAGATTTCTTAATGAACCCTATATATTACTAAAGCACCACGTGAAAATACTAAAATGCCTATAGAATTTGGAGATGCATCTTCAGACGCACCTCAAACACACATCCTAGACCAATTATGAGTCACGCCCTAAGAGTGTTTTTTTAGCTTTGTAGCATACTAAAATAGAAACATAAGTAGAAAACCAGAAAGTTGCATTTTGACAAAATAAAATTATCATTCATAACATAAAATTAGCATTACATATGTGATGTTAACATAAAAGCAGACATTACAATTCAATATCCAGGTGGATGTTTCAACATCTTCGACCGATCTTGAAATTGTCCCTTCCACCTCGATCAGAACTTTTGTTTCGAAGCAGGAAAATGTATTCCACGTAGCCCTTACATTTGTATCTGTCTTGAGCTCATAGATGTTAAACTGAATCTTGACTTTCACTGTTAATTGACAAAGAATGGTACTCGAGATTCACAATTTTTTGATTATCTTTGTAAGGTAGGAGATTATGCACCTCGTATTGCAGATCTGCAAAAGAGGTGCCCTCATTGATCTTAAACTTTTGCTCGTGGGTCGCTTTGGAAAAGGAGACATTTGTGACATACCAGATGATATTAATTTGTGACATTTGCGACATTTTGTGTTTGTATAAAATAAAAAATAAAAACCCAAATTTATAGAACTTGTAGACAAATATGGACCTAAAAAATTCTATCATGTATCAGTGGTGGTTTCAGATATGCATTTTCGGTACCACCCTATTGTTTTATTCCAGATGTCGTCTCTGAAACCTCTTCTATACCAAATGGAAAACAGAACATGTGTGTTTTGTTTGGAAAATGAACATTTTTTTTTGCCAAACATTAAAATGTATTAAAATATTTGAAATTGTATATGTTACACTTCATTAATATTAATACACAATTACATACACTAAATTGACGACAAAAAACTAAAACGAACCAAAAGATTTGTCTCCGACTAAATCTATAAGCACGGGTGGTACCCCCCCCTCTGACTTTTGCGCATTTGATTCTCTTTCAATGTTGCTCAATTTGGTGAATTCTTGCATCCTTTCCACAAATTAATTTGGCCAAGTCTCGACTTTTATTGTTGAATGAGTCATCCACTCCACTGACGTAAGTGGTATAGGGTGTAACACCCCGATATTTATATTTTAATATTTGTTAAAATATTTGTGATTATCGGTGAATTTTGATGAATTATGATGTATTGTGCGTTCTTGTTGTGTGATGTGGGGTGATGATGAGTTAAGGGAATAATATGATTATTTAGAAAGTAAATGATTAATTAGAATTATTTTAAAGTTAATGATAATAGGATAATATAGATTATGTTATTTAGACTATTATTATTAATTAAAATAAAATGAGTGGAAACATCGAGGGCAAGGTGGTCATTATAGAAGTATTAGTGAGGGTAAGTTGGGAAAGGCATATTAGGGGTCCTAAGGGCAAGTTTGACAAAAGAGAAAATAGAGGTGGAGAAGTTCATTCTGAATGACCGTGGTTTGGAGAAACGACACTGAGGAAAAAGTTAGAAGGGGCTAGGGCTCTAAGAGATTGTTGTAGAACTCAAGTAAAAGAATCAGAACTAAGAATCTAAGGTATGGGGAGTATTACTTTTCATTATAATTGATATAGGGTTTAGATGTATGTAGGTGGTTTTGGGGTTTTAGGGAAAATGTAGTAATATGATGGTAATGTGATGATTCTTGATGAAATAAGTGATAGAATGATATTTGTAGTGCTATTGGATGATGTATATGATGCTTATTATGAAGTGTTGTTGTTGTAATGTGATATCTTGTGAATCATGTGTGTTTTTGGATTGAACGATATTGGAATCGCAAGAGTTTTGGGGTATGGACTGTGCAGAAAATGCAACTGCAGAGTTGCTATTTTCACGCTTTTGTCGGGCGAGTCATGTGTTTTGTCGGGCGAAGCTACTTCGCTCAGGAAGCGCCAGGCGAAAGGAGAGGCGAAGGAAGGATAAAAAAGAGGTGCTCTTGGAATTTTGTATGGGGAAGGTGTTTCGCCACTACTTCGTCGGGCGAGCCTCGAGCGAGCAGGAGCTGACACTTTTTAATTTTACTTATCTTTTGTCTTTCTTTTCTTTCTTTTTCTTGTTGTGTTATCTCATATGAAGCAAAATGATTAATATGATGTATTTCTAATTATGATGTTATGATGAAGTGTGATTGATTATGAGGAATATACTATGATGATTACATGAATGATGATGCAAATTTGACTAGTTGTGGTCGTGTTTATTGTGACGTGTTACATCATGCATTCATAGCATATGTTAGGACTTCAGTCCAGTGGTGACGTTAGGACTTCGGTCCAATGACGATGTTAGGACTCCGGTCCAGTGGTGACCTCAATCCCATTGTGTAGATTGAGTGTGTTTTATGATGTGCTTCGGTTCCGAATGAGAATCGATCCTATGATGGGGATCTCGAAGGGGGATAACCATTTGTTCATCAAAGTGTTGGTACCACATGCATGAGTCATTTTGTTACATTACATACTAAGTGACATTACATAAATATGAGTTAATAAATGTTTTGATGGTGTTATGACATAAGTGATATTTTGACGATGATGATTTATTGATGATGTAATGACGTTGTGAATGACTTAATGAAGTGACAGTGTGAGTATGTGTGTGATGTGTGATGGATATATGAAGTATGGATAATTGTTGTTGTAACTACTATATCTATTTCTTATACCTTTTGTAATGATTTGTGATTACTCACCCGACCTGTTTGAATGTTACCTCTACGTGGGTAATGTGCAGGTGATTAAGGTTAGCTCGCTGACACGTGAAGATTTATCTTTGGAGTCAATTTATCTTATTTCCATGAATTAAGAGGGTCTTTGCTCTGATACATAACATCGGGGTTTGGGAACGTTTGATTTTCTAAAGTCGTTATTGATTTAAGAATATGTTTTTAAGAGTTTGTTACGTGATGATTTATTTTATGTCGATTTTTTATTATGATCAAAGGCCTTTAAGTCCTTTGATGAAAATTATGAAGTCGTGTTGATACTAAGATTTCGCTGCGAAGTTTCAATTATATATGGAGTTATTAAGATGAATTTTATAATTATTTGAAACCCGTGTTATGGAGCAAGATGTATGATAAGAATGTTTTTATGAAGCATGTGACACCCTTGTCGATGATTTACTCTGATTTAATTATTGATTTATGCGCTAAATTATTCGTTGGGTTTAGAAGGGTGTTACATTAGTGGTATCAGAGTAGGTCGGTCTGTCTGGCCAGGTTTTTATATGATGTCAGTCCCCTATTAGTCGACGAGTGTGTGTACATTGTCGATAGTTTGTTTCTCCTAATGTTGATTGATAGTGTGCAGAATGGCTGGGAGAAACGATTGTGTTATTGCTTATGCATTAGAATCACTTGCTAAAGTGATGGCCCAGAATGCACAGAACAATCAGAATTGAAGGGCTCCCGATGAGTTTCGTGCTTTGGGAAAGTTCTAGAGGAACAATCCGCCAACTTTCATGGGCACTAATGATCTAGAGAGTGCATATACGTGGCACAAGGTGATTGAGAAGATCTTCTGAGTGATGGCATGCACTGACGCTCAAAAGGTACAGTTTGGTACTCATATGTTGTCAGAAGAAACTGAAGATTGGGTGGATAATGCACGTCAGAGATTGGAGGATGTTGGTACCGAGATAACTTGGGATGTATGTAACACCCCATTTAATTATTTAGTTATTTCGTGATTATTTTGTGTGATCGTTGGGCATTGTCTTGGTTAAGGGTAGGTGTTAAGGTGGGTGTGAGAGTTATTGGAATGGATTTAATTAACTTAAGTCTTAGGACAACATGATAATAATAATATGATAGTGAGGCACTTATCAATGATAATATTAGTGTATCAATATTAATATTACTATTATTATGATTATTAATATTGGTGCTATTATAATTAT